TTCTTCTCAGTCCAAACTTTTGTGAACAGAGATAGGATTTCGCTGACAAGTGCACTTCCGCCATCTTTGGATAGAGCCGGTGGGAGGCTGTCGGGACCAGGAGCTTTGTGGCGTCTCAAAGATCGGATTGCATCTTGTATCTCTGCTTCAGTTGGGGGCCTGTGGAGACAGGGTAGGCAACATCCGTTGGGGCTGGAGGTGCCACAGGTGGCTGTGTTGGGTGGTTGAATTGAAGAGCGAAATGCTCTGCCCAGCAACCCAATTGCCTGTGAAGGTTGGTGATCTTCATGCCTTCTGATTCGCTTATCATCTGGTTAGTAGCTTGGGAATTGCAACCGGTGGCCCTGATGATGCAAACTAGACGGCGGAAGTTGCCAGCTGATGCAGCGGCTTCCATCTCATCAGCTTGTTTTGACCACCAAGACTCACGATCAGAGTGAAGGCTAGCTTTCAGCTGTTGCGTAATAGACCGGCAGTGTTCGGTTTGTTCTGTGCCAACAGGCACCGCCCGTCGACAATCCAGCAATTCCGAGGATCTTCCCGCGATCCAGCTTTTGTGAGTGGAGCGAGCGAGGCCGCAGCTGGACACCCGGCCTACAGCATGGTTTGTTGCAGGCTTGACCAGTGTTGATCAACATCCAGAGTGGGAGCGAGAGCGAGATTTTCACGAAGCGTTTGTTGATACTCCTTCTTCACCGTTGGGTCCTCTAACTTGTGTGTTAGAACCTAGGTGAATCACCGAAACGCATGCAAACGGTCGCACATACCAATGCATGATCGGTATCGTTGCATGTTGACCAAAATGATCGGCAGTCACATACGCTGCCGCGCCACTTGCGACTTATGACTATGTGATCAATCTGTGACCAGCGTTGGGTTGATGATGGGGGCGCCAAGTGGCGTACTAGCGTCCAGGATGTCGAAAGCTCTTACTGGTGAGGAAAAGCTGATGGTCAGCACACAGACTGAGTAGTCTCTTTGCGTTGTCTGAGTGAACATCATCATATCCGTGCGGTCCCCCGAGATGGTGCTTACATGGCAGCAGTCGACCGACAGATGCGTTAAAGTCTCCTGCCGAAATAATGATGTTTGTTTTAGGAGCCTTTAGGAGCAGCTCATGAAGGTTCTGGTAGAACTGGTCCTTGACTGTGTCCGAGCTACAGTCAGTGGGCAACCAAGCATCATCATTATACACGTTAGCTGCTGATGGAAAACACCTCAGCTACTGTGCCGCAATACAAAAGACGAGAGAAAAGCAACAGATGCATGCCGGCTGAGTCCCCGGTAACTGATGGACATCTTTCCTTAGAGCTAACATCCAGCTATCGTGCCGCAAAACGTTATATTATGCCTAACGAATGCGATCGTGATTGGAGGGGAGGCTACGCAGGAGGGAGATGAACAAAGGAATTCACAACTCAAACGCCACTGGAGCTGGCTCCTAGCCACATCAGCAAATGTGTCCAACCAAATGTGTTCATCGTCCTTGGGACCTCAGCCAGGCAGTCGGGAGGCACTAACCGACGCTAACTCAGAAGTGAGGGTTTTCATTTATCTCGACCAGTTCATCGCTTGACTTCCCCTCCTCTTCTTCCAACCACACTTCCGGCGCGCAAACCAACAACCAAGCGCTTAATCTCTGTCATTCAGAGAACCTACTGCGCTGTAGATGCTGTAGTGACCAACCAAGCACTGAAGCTGTTGCTACCTACAGTAAAAATAGAGGAACCCATCGGCGCCAAATCATGTTGTCTTTACCAACGGCATCAATTACATAAGCAGGACTGAGGGTTTTGAATTCCAGTTTGAAGGAACACCCGACCAACTCGATTTATTGAGGTCAGTTAACGAGGAGTCAGCTATTCCTCGTTCAATATTCCGTTTGCACGCAAACCACCAGCATCATAAATAGGCAAATATGTGTTTTTTGACCCGTTATCGGATTTACCTCTGCTCCACGTTTCGGATATTATTACGTCCTTCCAATCCACGCTTCTTGCGGTTTGCTGAGGCAGTGGCGATAAGCCAGTTAAGACCATCCCTCTGTGTGCGGAAACAATCAGCTGTTGACATTCGGTTGTCTCGGTTTTAGGTCCATCGCCGCCATTCACCTCACCGCATTTGATTGGTTGGTAACACCCTTTGAACGGTGTAAGATTATTTGTTTGTATCTTGTTATTGATGAGACAGTAGGCATTGCGCGTATCTGGCCGAGTTCGTCTTCGCATTGTGTTGTTCAGACTATTAAAGGGAAATAACTATATATATATATATATATATATATATATATATGTATGTATATATATATATATATACAGTATAAACCCGACAGAATAAGACTGGGTGGCACGTGGATGGGAGCCACATTTCATCCACTGAGCCAGCCCACACTCCTCCACTGGCAAACCCAAGCACGTTGTATTAAGGAAACAAGCGCACATAAGGCGGTGGCTGGACCGTAGTCCGCTCCACACTGAGTGCATGGAACCACCCTTTGAGCCTAACACGGCCACAAGGACCGTGCACCCGTACCCTCCAGCAACGACCAACTGTCTCTTAGAGCCAGTATAGACGAGGTAGTGCGTACTAAACTGGTAGGCACCGTATCAACATGCACTTCGAGCGCAGCCACACTGGGGATATCAAGCAACCGAAAATCGCTTGAAACGACAAGATCAAATGGAATTAATCGAAAATGGATAGGGATGCGCTGACATAAATCTTCGCTAAATTTGCATACGAAGTAAATTGGTTAGCAACGAATCCGCTATAAGTACGAAATGTCCAGAAGTTACTCAAAAATGCTACAAACTCAATAAAGTTAATGAAAATAACCACTGTTAGCGTATGCAACATGACCAGTTAATAGAAGATTATTCAGTTAGGCAGAACAAACCAAATAAAGTGGAATGAAATGTATCCAGCTTAAAATGACCTAGTTTAAGTGTAAATTGGTTTGGCCCAGCTGCGGTGAAGAAGCACCGTGAATGCAACATCAGCCTCAGCATGGAGCTGTGCGTGGTGCAGCGCAAGCCACCCATGGTCCCTCTGTAGGCGCAGTCGTCCTGTTGTTGACCACGGTGACAGGCAAATCCGAAACCGGATGCCGTCAACCATATATATGTATGTATTAGGCTAATGTTGCATTCATGATGCTTCAGCGCAGTTGGGCTAAACCAACATACACTTAAACTAGGTCTTTTTAATGTTGATAAAATTCATTCCACTTTATTTGGTTTGTTCTGCGTACCTGATAATGTCCTCCTAACTTGCACACGTCCCTCTTGTTAATTGTCGTAAACTTGCGTAATTTTATCGCGTGGTATCTTTAACATAACTTTCGGACATTTTGTACTTATCGCGGATTCGCTTGTAACCAATTTCCTCTTTTAGCCAGTATTTATGTCGCCATATACGTTTACTTTACTCTATATCTTTTATTTGGTATCGGCATTTCGAATGATTGGCCGTTGTTTGACATCCCAGATGTGGCTGTGCTTGATGTGCACGTTGACAAGGTGCCTACCTGTCCATTACCCACTACCTCGTCCATACTGGCTCTAGGAGACAGTTGGTCGTTACTGGAGGGGACGGGGTGCACGGTCCTTGTGATGGTGTTAGCCTCGAAGAGTGGTTACATGCACTCAGTGTGGAGCGGACTACGGTCCAGCCACCGCCTTGTGTGCAGTTGATTCTCCAAATACCGCGTGCTTTTGTTTGCCTGTGAAGGAGTGTGGGCCGGCTCCGTTGATGAAACGTGGCTCCCATCCGCATGCCTCCCGGTCTTATTGCTTCGGGTTAACACTGGATATGGGGTTTGTGGTTGGAGCTGTGGGTGGTGCAACGCAAGCCACCTATGGTCCCTCTGTAGGCGCAGGCGTCCTGTGGCCACACTGGCAGATAAATCCGATTTCAGATGCCGCCAAACATATATATATATATATATATATATATATATATATATATATATATATATAATGTCGGAAAGCTTCTCTTTTGTAAGTAGTAGGGAGATTTACTCGGTTTTTGTGTAGGTTCATCGCACTTAGCCACAGGCAGACAGCCACCACACATCCAGGAATGCACTAGACGGCCGTTTCGTCCTATTGGCGGAGTTCGTAAATATCGCTCATGCAAAGTCTATATCCATGCGGATCTAATAACGACTCTACTGGGCACTCTGATTCAATTAATTAAATGCAGATCTTTGGATTACTAAAGATGAGCATTCGCCGCGATTCATACAGGATCGAACAACAAATAAACTGGTTCAGATTGGCGGAATAATTTCTCTACCTGACAAAAATACGACGCAACGCCTCAGTAAATATCATATCATCTGTAATACCCAGCGGTATCCGATCGATATACTATCCCATTTGGACCGTATGATCTTAGTGGTCACTCCACCACCCTCGTGTTATGGAGTTTAGGCTTATCTTCAACCCCCCCCCCCCAATCGCAACGGCGCATTATGTATCCGATGCCTTAATGAATCAGTATATTTTCAACGATTCCCCGTCCAGCTGATGATACCTGTTGTTGAGGGAGTTGCGTTTTTCTCTGACTCGGGTGTCTTAGTTACATTCGTTTCGCTTCTAGTTTCCCCCTCGTTTACCTAAGCATTTTGTGGAAACACCACTTGTTTGCTTCCAGTGCATTTGTTTTCATAATTCAATATTGCAACCTGACACCCCAGTTCGTCAGCCTCTCAGTACATGACCTGCTTTTCGAACCTTACAGATGGGTTTGCTTCAACAGCTTTACGCACACATACACTGGTAATAACGATGTAAATGATAGTCTCAATTTTCCCCCAGCTTGTTAGCAAGGGGCTCGTAGTGACAATTTGTTCCAGACCGTTATTGTGGGTCGATCACATGAAAGCCATGTGATTCGCACACTAACTTAATTCTTTCGAAAATCTTCCTCTCGCCTGTCGCTCAATAGGTTGCGTTTTATGCAACATTCATTGTTTTTTCGCCTTCTCCTATTTGCAGGCGGCAGGTTTGTTCCCCAACAGTTAGCAGCCAAATACGGACTCCGATTGCCTAACTATCCTGGAACTCAGCAGTGCGTTCAATGGCCAACGGACATCTCCTGAAAATGACTCATTATTAGAGTTTGTCTTCCGTCGTCTTCTATTCTTTGGTGTATTCACTCCTCTTTTACCTTAATAAGAATCTCCTTTCGTCTTCTGTGCATTTCGCGTGGCTGGTTACTCCAATCGGATGCATTGTCGCGCTGTTTATCTTGACTTCACCTATGGAAAGACGACTGATCGCTATATGTGTCATATATTCCACGACTATTGCGCATACTGATTTAAGCGATCCCGCTGAAACACCCTTCCTCCCTGTTCGGACCTTTTTACCGTATCCTTGCGTTCATGTGCTTCCGCATTAGTTGCTTGGTTCTGTTAATCAGCACCCCTGGTTTGCGGGGGTGCACACCACCTAGCCAGTGTTTCGCCCGAAACCTACAAGGGAATGACTTGCGACAGGTGCCAGTGGACGTCTGTTGTCGTCTGCTGAGCAGACATTTTCCTTCTTTAATACCTCGCGGTGTTTAGCTATCTCTCGAATAAGCTCGATGTTGATGCGATGCGTTTACAACAGCTCATGTTTTCTGCGGGCCTGTCTAACTGTAGTCTTATTCGTTCAGCAGCTAAAAATTGGATCTCGTCGACATCGCCGGAATTACTGGACCGTCGGCGGTCAATTCCCGTCAGTTTGGGGAATACTGAACCCCGACGAGCCATTTCTCAACAATCAAAACCAAGTCCTCTCCGCGTTCGTGAATCCTGATGATCCAATCGAACCACGGAAATGGAAGCTGCTACCGCCTCTAGAAACACCCACAGATTATTTTACCTCATCAGATCCATCGGATGCAAATCACATGCCATCAGTGAGACAATCTGTGTGTCAGACGGTACGAGGAATACTAATCTACGCAAACGTCTGGATCGCTAGGCAGAGCACTTTGCTCTTCGTTAATTATCAGATTCAACCACCGGCGACATCTCCTTTGCTATCTTGCGGTGCATGGCCCGAGGCTGACTCTGAAGCGGTACAAACCCCCAGGCATTGACAGCCTTCCTCCGGCCCTAATCAAAGATGGAAGAAGTACACTTATTAGCGAACTACTCTCGCTTTTCACGAAAGTGTGGGTCGATGAAAAGATTCCCAACCCTTGGGGCCAATCTGTCGTGGTCCCGATTTACAAGAAAGGCTCCCGCAACGATTGCACCAACTACCGAGGAATATCACTTATCTCGGTCGCGTCTAAAGTTTTTGTGTCGATATTGCTCCGCAGACTTTCAGCTACTCGAGAGAGTTTGTATCGCTAGAAACAAGCCGGCTTTCGCAGCGGTCGAGGCTGAATCGACCAGATCTTCACACTGCGCCAAATTCACGGACATCGTCACACCCGCCGAAGACCAACAACAGTGATGTTTTTGGACATCCGTCCTGTCTTTAACTCTGTATATAGAACATCTCTTTGGAACTGTCTGCTAAGAAGCGGTGTACTCGCCAAATTCGTCGCAATCCTGAAAGAACTCTATCGCCACACATTCGGCAAAGTTAAAGCTTATGGAAAGCTTTCTTCGTCTTTTTGTTATCAGCGGAGTACGCCAAGGTTACCCGATCTCACCGTTCTGATTCAACTTTGCCATCGATGATGTTCTCCACCGCGCTCTGGAAGGAGCCGAAGGCTGCGGCGTTGAGCTCGTCCCTGCATCTGATGACATCGCTTTGCTGGGGGACGACCCACAGGCCATCTAAAACTTTTTAAACCGCTTAGCGATCAAAGCATCTAATTTTGGTTTGTACTTTGCCCCATTCAAGTGTAAAACTGCTCCAAAATTGGCTAGTGCCGGTGCCAATACTCACAATCGCAAGTGATTGCCCGGAGCAGGTGAATCGCTTCATTTATCTCGGTTGTATCACGGCGAGTGGCGGTGTTGGGGATGAAGTGTCTCAGCGAATCGCTCAATCCCACATGGCATTCACTAACCTGATACACTCGTGGCGCCGCAACGACATCAGTCTAAGGCTCAAAGGCCGTGCGATCCTGCTGTACGACTGCAAGACTTGGCCTGTCCGTGTAGAAGATCCGAAACGACTAGCATCTTTCGACAACCGTTGCTTGCGAACGATCTTTTGTGTGTGGTGGCAACACCACGTAAGCAACTGGGAAGTTAGAAGCCGAGTACTCAGTGAAAGATCTCAGTCTCCATGGTATTATTCTCGAACACCGTTTACTTTGGATTGGTCACCTTTTGCGCATGCCACCTAGTCGACTTCCTCGCCGAGCATTATTTTTAATTCCCGGGCGTGAGTAGAGAAAATGCCGGGATGGACAACTCATGACGTTGAAGAGGAACATCAAGAATGTCACCGCATGCCTGGCTTCATCAGGATCTGTCCATCTTCCAGATTGGGGACCACGTGATGAGGACACCAATTGACTGGAAGTTTTGGAGTTTATGCCTCGCAACCGAAAGCAGTGGCGTCAGTGCCGTTCAAACTTTGCCCCTTCATCCACATTACAATTTTAAACAAAGAAACAAAAACAAAAAAGCCGTTTTCCTTTATTTTTGAACTATCATTTTTCCATACCATTACAGCCAGGGTTCTGATGGCACATTGTTCTGTTTTCAGACTTGTGAATAAATATGTTGCGATGATGATGTGAAAGCCAATGAGTGACAATCTGGTCTATAGCTGGCTGTTTATGACTCTGTGGTGTTAATCACAAGGGGCATTCTGACATTGAACGTTTGATTAAGCATTTAGATTTTATTTTACTTACCTAGTTTTCACCTTTTCTCACCTCTCATTAGTAAATCCATTATAACTGCATATCAGCGGCCCGACAAGTCTAATCAACATAAACTTTATAGACCCGAAGAAGGTCATTTTTATCGTCTACGCTATCACTATGTGTGCACTGAAAAATGATTTAGCTACGAATACAGAAGTGCGTGGCAGCTGATGCCTAAATATCTGCTAGCGCAGCGGTCACCTTGTTTTCTTCCTCGTACCAAATTTAGGATTGCTGAGCAAGATAATACCCATCCGGGTTGTATTATTGAGATATATCTACCACTCAACTATTTGGATTTAACCTTCGAGGTTTCAACTCGTTCCGCCATTACACAGTTTTCGCACGTTCACTGTGCAAGCTCACGCCCACGTAACCGGCCTAGCAGGGACTGCTAAGGCAGTATATGTGGACAATAATTGGTTGGACAGGGTATGATGCGGTCTTTGTTTCAGGTCCATCAGAATTTCAAAGTCTGCCAACTCCTGGTTCAACGACCCGCTGAAGAAGGAACACTCGCGGGGTAATCCCATCTTTCCAGTCCCACTTGAACTTGTCTACACAACATTGGTTGTGATCTCATTTTGAAGACAACGCTGAGGAACACTCAACGCACCCAAGGTCATTCTTGACGGTAGCTGGACAAGGCAGCTACAACTCAGTTTGTTTCCACTGTAATGGTTTTTTCGCTCAGTTGTGAACTAGCACAACCACCCGCGGTTCGCTTGCGACCGATCGCGCGCGACCGCCTAATCAGTGGCCTGATCGATAATCCTGCATCATTTTCTGTCTACATCTGACCGTAAGGTCAGAGTCTGGTTTTGACAAACTTTTCTCATTCGTTATTCGTCACTTCACCGCGACTGGACATTAGAAACTGTGCATCATCATCTACTTCTTCAGGCTTAGACACGTCACGATAACTCAACAAGTGCTTCTGCGCGCACACCAACACGACCTGCATCGCTGCCTTGGCCAACGTCCCACATCTCAAAAAAGTGCCCCACCGACCTGCCGCACACGCATTGGTCGATCCGTACTCGTGATTTACCCAGCAATCAGCATAAAGATTGCTCCTCAACCAACAGTGAAGAACCTAAATCGGTTAGTTTCATAACGAAATTTTATCGGCTTCGACTACTCACTTTTTGACAACTGGACCGCTGGTATTTCTATCGACTCAATTGACCGCTTAAACCAATGGATCTTAGAAAAGACCAGAAAATCGTCTTCCACTGACCAGACAGCGAACCTGGTCGTAGACAATAAGCAGACTTCCAAGAGCCAACAAAAATATATGTACCGCTCACTTGCCAAATCCGACGTCTAGTATTAGCGACAGTTAGTAACCTAGGAAAGACCGTCGCAACGAGACTGGACCTTAACATGCTGCGACGGTCTGCGTACCTTCTTAACCCATTGACCTATTCTGAGTGGTACCTCCGGGCCCTCTGAGAGTTACTCCTAACAGGTTGGTCAATGGTTAGAGGTCAGACAAACTCAGTCTCCTGGTCCTCCAGGTTGGGGTTTGAAATGGGATGACGTCCATATCTGTAAATCTAGCTCACTGCGACCTCACCGCTGCCTGGCGGACAGGCTTTTGAGCCAGAGGCTTTGATTGAGGACCATTATCATCCTCCTGTCTAGGTCTGGGGGCCGTGGCGGTATCTCAGCACACATACAACCATGACAATTTCTCCAAACTCTAACTACATCCTGCATCGGCCTTCGCGCAGATTATCAAGGGTCACCTTATCTGCTGTATACAGCAAGGCGGATAAGCGAAAACACACTACTGCTGGCGGCTCCCTCCTTTTTTCCACACATTTCTCTTACTTCCATCCCCACCCCCATTACTAACCTTCCTTCCATAATTCCCAGCTTAATTGAAAGCAACCGAAGTGGAACTGGAATAGAACCATCTACAGCCACCTCCTCGCGATACGCACTGGACGCCTATCGGCAACCGTCCCCTATAAGGCCACGTTGACCCGTTTCCATGGCGACGTTAAACGTTCGCACTCTAAGACAAATGGATCAACAGGCTGCACTCGTAAGCACCTTATACCTTTGATGTGCGTTGTGTATCCGAAACTAGGATCAATGACCCTAATCGGGTTGTTAAATTAACTGCACCCGGCTTGTCCTCTCGTTATTGCTTGCACGCATCCGGAGACGCCGATGCAGCATTCACGGGTCAAGCTGGTGTAGGTATCATTTTAAGCTCCAAGGCTGAGCCATCGTTAGTCGATTGGATTCCGGTGAACAGCCGTTTATGTGCTGCCCGTTTGACGACATCAGCTAAGGTTGATTCACGAAGTAGTACAAAACGTTGTTTGTTTGTGATTTCCGCTTATGTTCTCATCGATTGCAGTTCAAATGCTGTCAAGAACACATTCTATCACGAACTGAATGCGCTACTACGCAGTGGTACTAGTTCAGATATTATGGTACTTGCAGGGGATATGAACACACTAGTAGGGCGTCTGAGCTCTTCAGAAGCGCAGCTGGGTGGTAATTGTGGGCTTAAATCCGAACGGACTGACAACGGCAAGCGTCTGCTGCAACTGTGTGCGGAGCACCAACTGTTTCTTAGTAACACCTCTTTTAGCCACAGTGGGCGCCGAAGTTCCACTTGGCGTCCTCCTGTAGCTGGCCAGTGATGGACCCAAATTGACCACATAGCCATAAGTTACAGGTGGCGTGGTTCCATCCTGGATTGCCGCTCGTTCTGGAATACGTGCGACGACTCTGATCATGCCTTGGTACGCTGTCGTTTCTACATGAAGTTTACTAGGGGGCGTACCAATCGTCTCTTCCGATTGGCCATTGAGAAATTGTCTCAGCCCTCGGTCAAATAAGCCTATCAAGGCACACAGCGTACCGAACTTTCACTGTCTTGTCTCGATGACACTGAGCTTCACTGGATTAGGATCTCGGCGGCCATGAATGACGCAGGAGCATCTGCTTGTGGCATTATCAATAGTCACCACACCAGTCACTGGATATCCGAGAGGTGGGTGACCCTGTTGGGATCTAGAAGAAACTTCCCCGCTGGCTCTGAGCACAATGTGACTAGGCGAGCTATTAGGCGCAAACTAAAGCGGAGACTGTCTACTGGAAAGGAAGGTTGGTGATTCATTTGGGCTCTGGAAGTGTAGGAGACACCAGCAGTAGGCAATTACCACAAGCTCTTTCAGTTGATCCGCACAACGTGTCCAGGGAAATCGGGCGTCAATAAGACAATCAGTGACAGCGCGGGTGCACAGATACACAATAAGGAGCGCCATATAGTTTGTTGTTCAGAACACTTCCAAGATCAATCCAGTTGACCCCCTGCCCCTGGACCCAATTCTACTCAATTGGTGCAGGCTGAACAATGTACGGTTAGTTCAGAGGATCCATCGGAGGCTGAGGTCCGAAACGCGATCACCACCCTCAATCGTTTTCGTGCTGCTGGCTTGGATTCCCTCCCACTTGCACTACTTAAGGATGGAAGTGAGGTTCTCCGCAAAACACTGACCTCCCTATTCGAACAAATAATTATAATAATCTACGAGTATTTCTCCTGATGCGAAAAACTGTGTCTGTATTGGCACAGATCATTTTTGTACAGAAGTATCCATGATCTTGCATGAGTGACATGCATAGGTGGAATATTTGGGTATGCGTTTCATGTGGTAATGTTCGGATGGATGGTTGAGGCAAAAGCTTAGTTTTGAAAATAATTGATGTTTGGATCTTTTTGGACCCCTCTTTGAATAGCTCATCGAACGATTTTTCCATGTGAATATAGTGATTATGGTATTTAGATCAAAGTAACTGAAGAGTGCTTCTAAATATTGTCACATAACCTGAGTGTTATTGGTTATTTATTCCACAGATAGCTATATCTGACCAGGAAGAAATTAGCGCGAACGTTCATTCTTGCCTTCGGTATATTCAGTGTAAAATCTTTATTGCGAAGCGCTTGAGTTGAGCCATGTTGAAATTCGAGTGTAGGCAGATCGGGATAGGTCATTTTGTGTATCACGTTGAAAAGCAGCAACAAGTTGTGCTTCAATCGTCGAATCCAAAGTGGTTCGAGTTGAAGTTCATTGTAACGATCTCAATAACTCATAGCAGAGTGCTTATCAATCAGATGTTTCGTAAATGACCTCTGCAGGTGCTCCACAGCCATTCTGTCACTCTAATATTGTCGTATGTTATGCTACAGTATTCAAGGATGAGGTCAGTGAGTAGCTTGAGAAGCTCAAATCTAGCATGGATGTGTGGATTTTGCTTGATATATTGAACGTAGATTGTCTGTCACGTGCTACTTGGTATTGGATCTGTTCAGAGATATTGAAATTAGACGAGTAACTGCTTCCAAGATCTCGCGTGTACAGCTGTGTAGGCACGCGTTCATTGTTTAGTGTGATATCCGTCGGGGATGCAACAGCCGTGTGACAGGATACTTGATTTCTTAGCCTAGAGGTTCATTTTGAATGAGGTTTAGCGTTCCGTGAAGTTCGTCACGCCGAAGCTTATAGACGATCTTCATTTCATCACCTCGCGTGCGATTGACCA